GAGAACCATGCTAATCAGTCCTGCTAATGAGATGAGAAAGGAGGAACTCCACCAGCTTACCTGTTTATGCCAAGTTAAATATGCTTGAGTAGAAGTCACAAATGCTATCCTTCTGCATGTGGAATGAATATATTTAATAAAATAATTCTAGAAAGTTAATACACTTGTGATTGCACAATGTAAGAGTAATTCATCAGAAAATAACATCTGTGATTTTTGTAACAGGATTACTTACTTTCCCCTTTCAACTGCCAAGGCATCTATCTCATCAAAGAAAATAATTGAAGGAGACACCGCTCTGGCTTTCCTAAAGATCTAGAAAAATAAAAATGAAACACTCAGTTTTAAGTGATGGAAAATTTTTACAGAATGCTATCACCCCCTGCACACCTCAAAAGCTGAAGAGCATCACAGAACAGACATAAGCCTTGTCATCTTTTTTTTTTCTTTTAATAAAAAAAAACCCAGACCTTTTAGAAGTTATTCATGATACTGCACGATGCAGGCTTATAGTGAAAGCTGCTACTGGATCCCAAATTTGACATGCATCTCTAGGCCGATGCAGAAGGAAGTTAAACAACACAAAATATCCCTTCTGCTTTTTTTTTTATTTTATTTTTTAAACTTAAACCAGAAGGAGTTTTTTTGGAAAGTTTAAAGGTAACCTGATAAGCAGAGAAGAATTTGAATGCCAAGAAAGCTTAATATATAACGTTATGAATAGCTTGCCCTTTCTCACCTCTCTCACTGCTCGTTCAGACTCACCAACATATTTATTCATCAGTTCAGGTCCCTGCAAAATTTAAAAAAAAAAAAAGTTTAAAGAGCACATTACATTTACATACAAAATGACTGAGACAATCTGCTAGTGCTGCATTACTGATGCTCTGTTACAAGGAATTTTGATAATTTGTCACTTGCAACTCTTCTTTTTCCATTTTTAGACTTACCTTCTACCTGTACCAAGTTTTCCTCCATTTGTTATAGCACTGTGCATGCGTGTAACTATGCATATAGGTTAGTCCTCTCATCATAATACCTTCCTAGTGCTTTCATGAGAAATGGAATTAATCAAAAAAATAAACACTTTGGGGTTCTTAAAATTTCTTGGCTCAACAACAGCAACAAGGGGACTGCAAATCAGCCAAAAATATGAATTACAGAAAAGCATTTACTTGCGCTCTCAACATGCATCCTGTCCAGCCAAGCACCAAAACAGTGATTTAAACCAATGTTTAACGGCACTTCTTTGAACTTGATAGTTTGCGGGTCCAGAAAGAAGAAGCTGCCATAGCAGCACACCTGAAACCCATCCACGAGGCGCTCCATCCCCAGCGAGACGAGAAGGCTGTTCAGTGTCTTAGCTTATTCGCATTCCTTCTCCTCTCTGCCAAGACTGCCAAGCACGATTATTAGTGCCAGCTGCTGCAGTGCCTGTTTATACTCACAGCCCTGTCCACTAGGAACAGACCAGAGACCACAGGGTCAACGTTCAAGTCTTGAACAAGTACTTACAATTATAAAAAGTAAAACAATGGAGAATTCTCAGAGCATTTTCTGTTCTGCTATATCCTGTAGGATAGGCTGCTTAAATAATGCTTCCTAATGGGACTAAGGTTCTCGTGGGATTGGTAATGACTCATTGACTTCAGCCTGGCTTGCATTAACATTGACCTGCAGCCACAACCAATGATGATTATCCACTACCCTGAACAAAAAGAGCCAGCGGGTTTGATCTATTTTCCAAGGAACACGTGTCCTCGTAATTTCACTAGCAGAAATGACATCCTCCTTCACAGTCAGAAAACTGAACCACCTTTCTATGCTTCACAGCTGCAAGTACCTTCAGGTAACTCTCGGCTCAGAGCAGTAGGGCAGCTTTAAACAGCAGGTATGCTAGAATTAAGAATGTGTGGTAGATGCACATTTACACATTGGCAGTGACAGAGCTTCTGTTACAACCCCTCTGTCAATGGGACCGCCTGGACTTTGTACCCAGACCTGTACAATACAGATTCATTACTCTAAAAATGCAGCATGCTGTTTTTTGCAGTCTCCCCTCTCCACACTCATTTTCACTCTTGCAATAACAGTTAATGCACTGGCTTTATCTTGAACTAGCACCACTGGAAAATACCTGGACACATGTATGGGGAAGAATGTATAATCCAAAAAGAAAAGCACAAGTTATCTGATATCAGCAAAGCATCCAGGCTATGCCACTATTTTCATTAATTTGTTTTCTAAGAGTTGACCATTACCCAAGGACCAGGTGAGATACAGCAGTAGCCAGAACTGGTGTACCACACAGGTAAAAGCAATTGTATAAGGACTGGAAGAAGAGCACTGCATGCCTTGCCCACAGGAAATGTAAATGGTACAATTAGCATTGCTTCCTTTCATCAACATCTACCCTTAAAGCAACTGCTGCAGTAGCTAAAGTTAAAGTGTCACCTGCAGGCTTTCAACAACTTCAAAATTTGAGTCTGTTGGATACTTGCGTGAAACCAGAATTATTCATCAACATAACTGATGAAGAACACAGGAAAGAAAGAAAGAAAAAACAAGGCAAGAGAGAGAAACACAAAGCCTTTTCCTACTATTCACTGTGGACACCGAACATGAGGAGCATGCAGCAGTTTGTGCAGAACAGGCTGGCAGCTCAAAGAGACAGCATCCAGCTGCTCCGGGCCCTTGCCATTCATCACATTCAGTGCAGATGAGGAAGCCGATAGCGCGGGCCTTACAAATCCTTAAGGAATGAGAGCACAGTCTTGTCTTTCTGTCTAGCTCTCTGTTAAACTGAGCTGATACACTGAAAAACCTCTGCAGATCTACCGATAATTATAGATTTCTTTTACTAACTTTTTCTTGGATCCTGTGGACCTTCTCTTTCATGCCTTTATTCTCAAAATCTTCATTCACATCAGTATTCTCATGGAAACCAACATCGTATACCTCAGTGCCAATAGTGTACTCCTCTAATATGACACAACATCAAATAGCCTACATTTTCTTTTCTTTTGTCTGAGCAAAAAAATACTTAAAACCAAAACTACTGTCTTTGAGCTTTAAGGTACAATATAATTTCAGATGCTTGGAGTTTTATTTTTAATTAAGCATTAAAATATGATCAAGGCAACATCAAAGCAATAAATACTGTTTAAAATGTTTCCAAAGAGAATTATTTTGAATGCATGGTTTTGCTGTAAGCTTTGACATTAAGTTTTTCTCCATTTTTCTCTTCATTAAGCTTCTTCACAAAGAATTTTCATAAAAATTGATTTGAAGGTCTCCTAGTTCACCACTCATGAGCGATACCAAAACTGCTGTTCAGAACCACGGGTTTTTTTGCAAGCAGCTTGGAACTCTTATTATACATGGCAATAAAGGAAAAGACTCCAAAGTAAGAGAAAGCACACACAGAAGAGGAGGAATTGGTATACATTTCATTTCATGCAAACACTTAAAACCACAACACAAAAACTAGAAATGTTCAAAGAAGCTGGATGTAGAAACTAAATTGGGTTAGCTCCGGTCCCACCTGAGCTGAACCTCTGCCTTACCCTGTCTGCAAATGGGCTGTCCTTTAGCTGAGATTGATGGGAGTTCTTTCAAAAGATAGATCTGCATGACAAGTCTACAGGCCACCACAAAGTCACCTGCTGACAGCTGACACAGTTTCCAATTTTCACAAAGCTCACCTTCTCTTTTTAGGAAGTTTGCTTTGAAGTTGGAGGCCACTCAAGAAATACCAGGAGGGTTTTCTTTTAATTTTTCAATGCTTTTCTAATGCTTCAAAAATCAAATTACATGAACCTGACTTACTCAGAAAGTTGACATTTGCTGAAACATCATTTTTGGCTCCTAGGTGACCATAAGGATTCCTTTTAAAGCTGTTTACAGCTGTTGATACACTGACCAAGAGGTGCTAGTAACAAATGGTCCAGTTTAATGATGCATAGCTCTGTTCTCTTCTGCAACAAGCCATCTTCCATATGAGGGGATGTGAAGAAATAAAACCTGTTTCTTCTGGTCATTTGCACAGTCACTCCAAAACCAGCAAAAGATTTGGAGCAGGAAATTGGCAGAAGTAGTTGTAGCTTAGCCATGCATATAAGCATACCATTTGTGAGCTACAATCCAGACTAATAGTATAAAATCTGCCAATTCAGGCCCACTGTATACTGCTGAGTTTTGTTTATTCAGCCTCAAAGTAGAGATAGTTTCCAGGTATGCTCTGTTTAAAGACTATCCCATCCTCGTTTACAAGATAGTTTCCCCTTGTATCATGAAACCTTCCACTTGTTTATGGTCTGGATTGGGTGTGGATTTTTCTCCTCTGTTGATCTTTTTTTTTTTTTTTTAAATAAAAAAAGCAAGGAAAAAAAGAAAATTCCTTACATTTAAAATATTATCAGGATAAGCTCTTGAAAGATTAACTGCACAAAAGATAAAAACCCCTGTATACAAGCTGCAACATGAGATAAGCTTATGTACACATGGTTATGACAGAAGTTCTCAAAGTGTTTTTAAACTGCAAGAGGAACATCTGGTATCCCTGAAGTTAAAGAGTATCAGTAATTTTTTCTAAGCAGTGCTTAAAACCACTTGCGGATTTTTTCCACCTGAAAAAATGGGTGGAAATAGGAAATTTAGTCGATGACTTCCCTCTACAAATAATTTTTTACTGTTTTGACAATCAGTTAAGTTATGCACTTATGCTTGTTGAGCCAGATGGACACAACTCCTGATTTCTCTAGCATACAGCTCTGTCTACGCTCTTCAAAAACACTGCCATAACCTCACATGCAGGTTCTGGTCTCTAACACAGACACACTAAACTATGTTAGCTATAGAGTACAGTTCATATTTTTTTAAAAATCCAATGAATTAGAGAATTTATATCACATCCTACAGATTATTACTCTACAGGACATAATGCACAATTCCTTCTTTGCCATGTTCAAAGTAGAAATGACCAAACAGACATTAAAATATCAGTCATAATTAATACTCAATTTCAAATGAAGTATCTAGAAACTGAGCTCTGCACTGTGAAACTCAAAAAGGGAAAGAAAAAAAAAAAAAGACGGGGGTGCCAAAATTAGTTTTCAACTGTTCACAATGTGTTCCTAGGGCAACGTTCAGTGCCCACACTCAGACATCTGCATCCGAGTTAGACATTCACACTAATTGATTTCGACAGACCTACGTCTACCTCGCAGATGCAATGCACCTCACTCTGATGTGCTAATTTCTCATCAGACTGCAGAAGGAGCGTAGACAGCCAGCTCAGAGGAGTGAAGCTTGATCCCACCCCTACCAGTACATCTTTCATGGACTTAAAACCAGCATTTTGGTTTCATTTTTCTTTCTTTTTTTTTATTCTTTCCAGTTCCGTGACAATGCAGGTGAGATGATCTACTATAACAACATTAACTGATTTGGAAGAGATTCAGAAATTAGTTAGTTTTTTGATACTGTAATCTCAACGTCAAAATGCTATCCCATCCCTACCACAGTCAAACCAAAGCAACACACGACTCAGGCCGGCTGCAGGAAAGAGAGTTAACAGGATAAACAGTGAGACTTCCTTGATTTTAACAGTAAGGCTATTTCTAATGCAAAGGTTGTACATGTGTGATTTGGTAATTGGTTACGCTACATAGAAAAACATTTGCTCAGAAAACGCATTATATTTGCTTGTTAAGAATAAAGCCTACTTCTTCTCTTTCAATGCTGTTTAATGATTTAATCTGCATTACTCCCAGCTTCTCAGCAGATGTAAAC